CCCCCTTCCCCCCTTTCCCCCTTCCCCCCTTTCCCCCTTCCCCCCTCCCTCCCTCCCTTCCCCTGTCCCTCCCTTCCTCCTTCCCTTCCTTTCTCCCTTCTTTCCTATTGTCTGTTTTGATCTGGGCTTGCATAAGGTCAGATGGAACCAGAAATGTTCCATGGACCCCTGGGCACCATCTGCCTAGCCCGATGGGAGTCTCTGGCATAGTGCAGGTGGGGAGTCAGGGGAGACTACTCACATTTGCTGTGAGAAGGCTCCAGGTTGATGAGGGCTGGGTTCTCTCTGCAGGGGCACCTGAACTGGCCCCCCTTCTGCCTGGTGATGCTGAATGTGACTTACTTGACCCATCAGGTCACTATTAATCGCTTCAACCGAAAGGTGAGTGCATCAAACAGCCAGCCTCCAGGGCAGGGCCACAGTCAGCCGAGGGGCATGGAGTTCAGGGGTGGAGGGGCTATGAGGCTGAGTCATGATTTGAGGCAGGGGTAGGGAGGGGGCCTTCTTTAAAACATAATGCAAAATTAGATATATTTGGAAGCAATTATAATTAGAATGCTTGTGGCCACTCTAATTTCAGGGGTGGAAGTATACCAGGAGGGAAGGGATATTGTTGTGACAGAAAAAAAGTTGGAAAGGCAAGAGACAGTGGGCTTAAATATTTATGACTAAAAGATCTCACTTTTGCAATTTTTACAAAAACCTATGCCCACATGAACACATTATGACTAGGGCCCCTACCAAGAAGTGAGGAGCCCTGAATGTCAGCTTCATTGGCTTAACTAAATCCACCTCTATCAAGAAGGCTGGGGTATCCAACAACAGCCCACCCCAAGTGGGCATCCTTCCCAGAGGGCCAACCTTTGCTCCTTCCAGCAGGTGGGCAAGGGGGACTGATCCGTCTTCTCCTCAAGTCCCAAAGTTGTGACTCTGCCCCCAATTCCTGAGCCTCAATCTGCAGATTTCCTTCCATTTTGGTTTTAATTTGCATTCCTGTTGGAATCTGCCCTTGAACACAGAGTGCATCACACTTTGTGGTGCTTGTAGGAACAGGGCTTAGGACAGTAGGTTTCCCATGGGGTGGAGGCTTGAACAGAACCCTGAGCTTCTTTTCTTAGTTTATAAAATTTTTCCATTAAAAATATCAGCAGTAAAATTTACCCTACTTAAGTATACAATTCTGTAAGTTGTAACAAGCACCCACAGTCATGTAGCTACCACCTCCAACCATGTTACAGAAGAGTTTTACCATCCCAAACACGACCTCCTGCCTTTTTGTTGCCAACCCCTTCCCCACTTGCTGACAACCATTGTCCCCTGTTACTATAGTTATGCCATTTCCAGAATGTCATACAAATTCACCAGAGTGTATGGTGACATTCATCCATATTGTTGCACAGATCAGTAGTTCAATCCTTTTTATTGCTGAATACTATTCCATTTTATGGATGTACCATGGTTTATGTATCCATTAACCAGTTGAGAGATAATTTGAGTTATTTCCAGTTTGAGGCAATAGCAAATAAAGTGGCTGTAAACATTTACATACAGGTTTTGTGTAGATAAAGTCCCCGGGAGTAGATTTCGGGGTTGAACGGGAAGGATGTATTTAGCTTTAAAATACTTGCCAGACTGTTTTCCAGAGTAGGCATTTAGCATTCCTACCAGCAATGGATGAGAGCTCCAGGAGCTTCGCATCCTTGCCAGCGCTTGGTGGCATGTGTTTGTTGTTTGTTTAGTCACTCTAATAAGTGTCAAATAGGACCTCATTTTGGTTTTAATTTGCATTTCTCTGCTTATGTTGAGTGTCTTTCCATGGGTTTATTTTCCATGGTATATGCTCTTTGGCGAAGTATCTGTTCAAGTCTCTTGCACATTTTAAAGATCATGTTGTTCTACTGAGTTTTGAGAACTTTTCTTGTATATTTTGGATACAAGCCCTTTATCAGATAAAAATATAATTTTCCAGTCTGCAGCATGTTTTCCCACCTACCCACTAATGTCTTTCAAAAGACAAAAGTTTTTTTTTTATTTTGATGGTGTCCTGTTTATTAGTTTTTTTCTTTTTATGATTCATGATATTGGTGTTGTACCTAATGAACCTTGCCAAAAGTCACACAGAATTTCTTTTATGTTTTCTTCTAGAAGTTTTATAGTTTTAGGTATTGCTTTTATGTGTATCTTGCATTTTAAGTTAATTTTTGTAAATGGTGCAAAGTATGGGTTGAGATACATTTTTCAAATGGGAGTAGTCAATTTTTCCAGTACCATTTTTTTGAAGAGACTATTATGTCTCCATGGAATTGTCTTTGAACCTTTATTTAAAAACCAATTAATGTTTAGAATTATTTATACACTTTTCATTTTGTCCTATTAATCTATCCTTTCACTGATGCTACACTGTCGATTACCATTACTTATTATTAAACATTAAAAATTAGGTGGTATTGTTTTGTCTTTTTTTTTTTTTTTTTTTTAGACAAGAGTCTTAGAGTCTTGCCCTATCATCTAGAGTAGAGTGCGGTGGTGCAATGATAACTTGCTGCAGCCTCCACCTCTGCCTCCCAAGTAGAAGACAACAAGTGTATGCCACCATGCCTAGCCAATTTTTAATTTTTTTTATAGAGATGGGGGGGGTGTCTCCCTGTGTTGCCCAGGTTGGTCACAAACTCCTGGCCTCAAGGGATCCTCTTGCCTCAGCCTCCCAAAGTGTTGGTATTACAGGCATGTGCTACTGTGCCTGGCCTAGCTATTGTAATTCCTTTAACTTTTCATAGAAACTTAGAATCAGCTTTTTGATTTCTATCAAATGTCTTCCTGGGATTTTGACTTGCACCTAATATATAGATTATTTGGAAAAAGAATTGAAATCATAACATTGGTGAGTCTTCCAGTTCATGAACATGGTTCATCTCTATTTTTTAATGGCTTCTTTTATTTTTTAATTTGTGTCTTGTAATTTTTAGTGTAAGGATCATACACATTTTAATAGAGTTATTCTAAGTACTTTATATTTTTTGGTGCTATTGTAATTCTGCTGTTTTTGTTTTACTTTCCAATTGCTTATTACTAATGCAAATATAACTTATTTTTGCATATTGAGCTTATATCTTGCAATGTTACTAAGCTCACTTATTAGTTCTCATATTCTTTGGGTTTTTCTACATAGACAATTATGTCTTCTCCAAATAGAGACAGTTTTATTTCTTCCTTTCCAATTACTATGCTTTTAATTTATTTTTTCCTGCCAATTGCACTGGCTAGGACCTCTAGTGTGATGCTGAGTAAGAAAGGTTGAGAGCAGTCATCCTCGTCTGATCTTAGGGAGACTGCATTCAGTCTTTCACCATAAGTCGTGATGTTAGTTGGAGGCTTTGCACAGATGTCTTTTATCAAGTTAAGAACATTTCCTTTTAATCCTAGTCTGCCGAGAGTTTTTTATTACCAGGAGTAGATGTTGATTTTATCAAATGCTTTTTTCTGCACCTATTGGGCTAATATTGATTTTCTTTTTCAGATTATTAATGTGATAAATTACATTAATTTTTGTATGTTAACCCAGTCTTGCCTTCCTGGAATTAACTTCATTTGTTATATTATCCTTTTTATATATTGTCGGGTCCTTATGATGGATATTATTCTAAATTTTCTTTTCTTGTAATATGATAGTTTACTATTAGTAGTAGAGTAATACTGGCCTCATATAATGAGTTGGAAAGTATTCTCCCATTTTTAATTTTCTGGAGAAGTATGTGTAGACTTGGTAATATTTATTCCTTAAACATTTGGTAGAATTCAACGGTGAAGCCATCTGAGCCTGGGTATCTTTTTTTCTGGGGAGATTTTGAAGCACGTATTCAATTTCTTTAGTAGATGTAGAACTATTTTTGGTTATGTATTTCTTCTTCGGTAAATTTTGGTAGTTTGCATCTTTCACACAATTTGTCTATTTCATCCAAGTTGTCAAATTTATAAACATTAAGTTGTTCATCATATATTCTTACTATACTTTTAGTTTCTGTGGACATGAATCTATGTGCCATATCTAATTCCTGACATTAGTTATCTGTGTCTTCTCTCTTTTCCCTGACAAGCCTGGCTAGAGGCGTCTCAAACTTACTGTTCTTCTCACAGAATGGCTTTATTGGTTTTCTCTATTATTTTTATGTTTTCTATTTCATTGATTTCTGCTATCTTTATTATATTCTTTCTTCTGCTTATTTTAGGTTTAATTTACTCCTCTTTTTCTAGTTTGTTAAGGTAGAAGCCTATGTCATTGATTTGAGACCTCTATTCATTTTCTAATATAAGCATTTAGTGCTACAGTTTTCCCTGTAGGTATTGATTTAGCTGCATCCTACAAGTTTTGATATGCCATGTTTTCTTTCTCAATCAGTTCAAAATACTTTTAAAGTTATCCCTTTTGATTTTTATTTGACCCATGAATTATTTTAAGTATTTTATTTAATCTTCAAATATTTTATGATTTTCCAGATGTCTTTCTGTTATAGATTTCTAATTTCATTTCATTGTGTTCATAAGACATAATTGGTCTAACCTGAATTCTTTTACATTTGGTAAGATTTATTTTATGTTCAAGAATATACTCTAAGTAAATGTGTATTTTATTATTGGGTGGAGTGTTCTATGAATGTTACTTAGGTCAAGTTGGCTGATAGTGTTGTTCAAGCCTTTTAAATTCTTACTAATTTTTTATCTGTTTATTCTCAGTTATTGAGAGAATGTTGAAATTTATGACTATAATTGTTTATCTATTTTTCCTTGGAGTTTTATTAGTTTTTTTTATTCACATATATTGAAAGTCTGTTATTTAGGTCCATAACATTCAGGATAGTTATGTCCTTTTGATGAATTAACTCTTTTATCCTTAGGTAATGGCCATTTTATCCTGGTAAAAGTCTTTGTTCTGAATTCCACTTTGTATGACTTGACTGTAATAGCTTCTCCAGCTTTCTTTTAATTAGTATTAGCATGTATATGTAACTAATATGTACATTTAAGATGTATCTTTTTTCATTCTTTAACCTATGTGTGGCGTTTTATTTATTTATTTATTTATTTATTATCTATTTATTTATTTTTGAGACAGAGTCTCACCCTGTCGCCCAGGTGGCAGAGTGCAACAGCGTGATCTCAGCTCACTGCAACCTCCACCTCCAGGGTTCAAGTGATTCTCCTGCCTCAGCCTCCTGAGTAGCTGGGACTACAGGTGTGTGCCACCATACTGGGCTAATTTTTTTTTTTTTTTTTTTTTTTTTTTTTTTTTTTTTTTTAGTAGAGATGGGGTTTTACCATGTAGCCAGGATGGTCTCAATCTCCTGACCTCGTGATCTGCCCACCTTGGCCTCCCAAAGTGCTGG